TATGGTCTTCCCAAATCCTGTGGAACAAGCATTCCACATGAAGATGATATTCCACGATTCGATTGAGGAACAACAGATCATGCTTCACTTCCTCCTCCTCCTCCAATTATTCTCCCTAACCCACAATTTCAAAGACTTGAAAAGTTCAAGATCACTCAAGACCTTTTGGCAAGTGAACATAAAGAAGGAAAGTCGGTGTGTGCACACGTCCTAGGGATGAAGTCACACATCGATAGGATCCATTGTCTGTAAGGAAATGGCTATTGATTGGATTCTTCAGTCACTTCCTAACTCATATAGTGAGTTTGTAAAAGAGTACTATATGATGAACCACGACGTGACCCTTATTGATCTCACCTATATGCTTATTGCTGCTGAATCAGCAATGGTTTGGCGCAATAGAAAAGCAAAGTTGATTGGTGAATCTGCCTTCAAGACCTCTATGGATATAGACAATGGCAATGAAAGACATGCAATGATCGAAAAGTTTGATCATAAGAGAAAGGCGATGTCTGAAGTAGTTCCATGTGTTGTTCTAAAAGAGTTAATTTGCTTTTATTGCCAAGAGAAAGGGCATTGGAGACGACGTTTCCCTATTTACCTAAGAGATCTAAGAGATGGGAGAGTCAAAAGTATGACTAAGCTTCAGGTAAAATCCACTATCTAACTCCGTTAAGTTCCTATTCATTGATTCTTAATACATGATGTGATAAGATTGCATTTGAATGTTTTGAAGGATCGGTGAAAAGAAAGGAAGCTTGATAAGAGAGCAAGATGAATCTAATCACAAGAGATGGATCTCGATCGCATGGACTTGAAGATTGGATTCTGAGCTTAGATAGTTATGATAGAGTTGTTAGAAATTTTCCTTTTACATAGTTTTCAATAGATTTTGCATTGTAAGGACAAATGTTTTTCTGCTGCTTTTATAAATAAAATAAATTTTGACTTATTCACTTCCTTGCAATGAAATCGTTATGAAAATTGATGTTTGCATATTTCTACAACGAATGGATATGATTCTTAGTTATGTTATTTATGGAAATGTCGAGAATTTACCAAATAGGGAGAGTTTCTCATCGCCTAAATTTCAATTGGACTGAGATCACGCAAGTTGGTTGCCTAATGAATGAGAAATTTCATATTTGGAAATTAGACAAATTCATTGACAAAGTGTCAAGTGAAGGACTAGGAGATTGAGTACACAAAGTTGCGTGTTGATCAAAGTCCACCATAAGAGTAACAAAGACATTCGTCATGATTTACTAAAGGTTTAGTAAATATGATTATGCTTATAAGATTAAGTGTAATTCTGAATTGATTGAAAATGTTTAAATCAATAGCAGAACGAATAAGAAGAATCAAGTATGCAGAAAGATAAAAGTTTCTCCATTCTAAGAAGAAGGGAGAGTAGCTTTTATGCTTTATAGTGGGTCTTAATGATTAAGAACCATATCTCAATTGATCCTCTAAGTGAGTCTTAGTACAATTGTATGTTTAAGAAGAGGAATCAAGGATTGAAGAAATGGATAAATCAAGAAGTCTATCATACTTCGTTCCAATAACAAGTCTTAAAGTTAAGATTGTGACAATGAGTAAAAAGTATTAAAGGTTTATAACATTCATAAAATGTGGAAAGTTGTGATGTCTTGAATAAGACAAAGACCAACTTGGACAAATTTATGAAGTGTTTTGATAAAAGCTACACTAACTCTTGAATATTTGGTTGTCAACAAATGTTTATTGATAAAAGAATCTTATATGTCAAGGAGTCAGTGGGAGTCTTAATGGTCTCGAAAAGTTTCAATAAAAAATCAAATAAACCTTGACGATCATCACTAGCACATGAGTTGAGTTTTACAACCTATCGTGTTGACGAAATTTTGATTTTGTGCTGTTCCAATTGAATTAATTATGCATGTGAGTCCTATGAGTACTCATTTTGAACGCATAAAAGGCAAAGCACCTTGATCAATGAAAGGTACATTGATAGGAAAAAGGTAAGATGCTTAACTACTTGGAAGACGTGGTGGGCAGCTGTACTACCATAAGGCAAGAAATCAAGATTAAGAAAGCTCGGTCCATATTAGTTTGAATTTGTCGTAAACTTTGGTTTTAACAAATTCACATGGATAGGAACAAATACACCGTTTGAATCTAAGTGTCATAAGATTTCCTCCTTCATGAAAATGATTGTGAGGAAATGCTTTCACTAAGAAAGATTTTAAAAAGATAGTGATTGTAAAATTGCATTCTCGAATTCGATCATGGTTACAGTATCCCTTTCCATAATTTGAATTGTGAGGTTTGGCAATTAGTCTTAATTGTTAAGGCACACATATGCACTATCTAAGGCAAAGGTGTATAAGTTCAAGAAGCCTTGATAAAAGATTATCAAAGCACTAAGTATTAGAAACATGGACTTAAGAAATTCAATAGGTATTGTCTTTCTGAAAGTTAAGATGTTTATGAATACATGTCAAAGCTAGTGGGAGCATAAGTGTTATGTTTTATATTAATCATCATAATAGTGGGAGCATAAATGTTATGAGTGTATAATTGTTATGGAAAGTTTTGCAAGTTGGCAATATTAATTATAGAAAAAAAAAGTTATACCTTGCAAAGTCGTAAGGGTTGTATAGTTGTTTTGCTATAATTAAGGGAGAGAATATTATGATTCGTTTCAAATCTAAAGGATTAGGTTGAGAAATGTTAATAAATTTAGTCAAAATTACATAGTGTGTTCTTAAAATTTCGATTATGATTACAGAATTCCTTTTCACAATTCGAATTTTGAGAACATAGCAAATAAAACATTGTGCATCGTGTCCCATAGGCTTCGGGTATAGGATTGATTGCAAATGATTTAATGTTTGACCATTCTAAAATTTTCCAAATGTCTAGCATATTTAGAGGGAAAAGGGACTAGAATTGGTTTTGACTAAAATAATTAAACAACTATCAAAGGACAATCCAAAGTTCGACGACGATTGGTTGCTTGTGAGTAGTTGGAAGCATGGTATTAATGGACCATATTGACATTATGATGAATAGAAAAGATTCTATTAACAAATGAGTTTTCATATGGAAAATATGGAAGCGTGTTCATATTAGGAAGTAAATATTGAAAATCTATGACTAGATTAGAAACTTTTATGCAAAAGGATGTTTAAAGAAATGTACTTTGAGAGAGAGAGACATCATATCTAAGGAATTGTCTTGTAACGATCTCCGTTAGAGAACTTTTTAATATCATTGGAAATAGTCTTTGTGACTTTGATGCAGTGACATTACGAAAGGATTGTTGCATAAAGTGTTAGAATCTAGCATATTCTATAAGTAGCGAGAATTTGATATTCTTTCACTTATGAAAAATGGATTTGGAGTTGTGAAATGAGAATGATTGGAAATGTGTCCAATGTGATCTATTTCACAAAGTAAAAACCATAGGTAAACATTGTGTGCATGCTAGGAGCATGGGACAAGTGTAATAATTCTAGTAAGAAGTTGATTACCCGAAACGACAAATAATGAGTAATCGATATGGTGATAAATAAAAGGTGCTTTATTTATGCTCAAAGGGTTGAGGCCATATGGGATTAGTATTATTCTTGTGTTTCACCTTGCATGTTTTGACTTCCAGAATAATTGAGTTTATTAAGAATAATCGAATTATTCAAACGGGCCACAGTCATTCATATGTTGGAAGTAGATATGAATGAAGACTATCGTGAATTGGTGTGTGGATTGTCTAGAAGAGTATTAGACATAAGCAAATGTTTGCTGCAACGTTCATGAGTGCTTACGAATATGATTTGAGCATTGGATTAAACCCACGCTCACTTGGGTCACTCTATGAATTGTATTACAAGTGATTGGTGAGACGATAACATCTTATATTCTTGAAACTGAGATGTGTGAGTTGTATCTTGCTAATCGGTTGCACATTGATAATATGTAAACGCACTAGTAACTCGGCCGGGCTAGGGCTAATTTGATTTGTTCAATTAGTCTGTCGTCATAAATCAGAAATCGAGAAGTAGTACAAAGAGAATGATTAAAAATCATATCTCATACGGTATCTAGAATGGAGGAATATATGATCCCTTATCTAAGGACACGTGTATCTAATATGATCAGAGTTGACAGCGGCTTTGGAAAGCTACGATTGCAGATCGGGATCTGAAGTCATACGCATAATAGTTGTTAGACTTATCCGAGTGGGAGACTGTTGGATTAGTGTCTAAGTCCATAACTATTTTGGTATGTACTTGACCCGATGGTGCATGGTCCTTTTGGGTTGCCTTCACCAAAGCAACTTGATTGGAGAAATATATAGAGAGAGAGGATAATATGATTTATTAATATGTTATAAGAATAATATATTAAAGGAGAAATCATATTTGTTTAATTAATATCGGTCAATAATTAATTAGGAATTAATTTTGTGATCAAGTGTAATTAATTAAACCAGCACTACTAGAAAAACAGCCTTTTACGACGCTCATTGCGTGTCGTAAAACGCTCAGATGACGCGCAAATGTGCGTCAAGGAAGGCCCTGTCATAAAGAGAGACGACGCTCTTTTGCGCGTCGTCTATAGACGACGCGAATTTACAACGCGCAGTGATGACACGCAATGCGTATCAAGGAAGGCCATGTCATAAAGGAAGACGACACGCATTTGCGTGTCGTAACCTTATGACGCGTATGTTTATGACACGCAATTCGTATCAAGGAAGCCCCTGTCAAGAAAGGTCATGTCATAAATGAAGACGACACACATTTTTGCGTATCGTAATTTTAATTTTTTTTTTAAAATTATTTATAGATTTACTGATTGTCAAATTAAATTTGCATTTCGTATCTCATAATACAAATAAAATACCATATACAAAAAATACAATCCATTGCATAAAATTTAATGTCATACAATTCTATTTCTTACAATATATAAATTTGCATTTAATCTACTATGTACATCAAATTCCAACAAAGTAAAATTGCATCTTGCCTTTCATAATTCTTTAAGACTAATGCTCCAAGCAGCTGATTATATGGATAAGCAGTTGTACATTGGCCCATCTCACTCAATAATGATTTAGCTAAATTCAACTACAAGTCTTCACTGCATCTTGCTAATAATGCTGCAAGATTTGAATCAAGTGGCTTCATATTCCTTTCTTCCATCAACTTTACCTGATGCACAAAATACAAAGAAACAAAAAAACATTATAGAGGAAGGGGTAATTTGGGAAATGTGAGGGGTATAATATAATATGAATGCAAATACTTAATACCACTTTCATGCCATCATCAATCCAACGGTTGTTTCGAATAAAATCACCTTTACTCATCTTACATATAAACAAACCAAAGCATCAAAATCAGAAAAATAAATGAATATATAAACTGGGAATAAATAAAAGATTGAAATCATGACCTTATCTTTGACGATGTTGTTATGGGCATCCGTATTGAGCATAATCACAAAATATGCAAGAACATATGTTGTGTCAGCACTAGTGAAGGAATTAGGGTTTCTAAAAATCAAAATCTGAAATAGATATAAATATAAATATATAGTTATATAGTCATATTCCACGTAGAACCAGAAATGCAAACACTACATTCACTAGGAAAATGCCAAACTGAAAAAAAGATAAGATAAATCTTCTATTAACTTGAGGTTTACAAGGAATTTTTATAACTTTGTAATGCATATACAAGCTACATACAAAACTTTTAATGATGTTGAATAAGAAATGTCTATTCATTTTGAAAACTTTTAATGAATTGAAATTGTAAATGAGTTGGTTGACAATTCTTGACATATAACCCTAATTTTGAAATTGTTTAAAATAAATGAAAATGTAATAATGTTACCTGACGACCCATTAATCTTGTTCTTAGAAATTCCCTTGCTTCACAGGCATAAGGAGCAGGTTTCTCCTCTCTTCTTGGGTTTCCCAATTTGGGACATCTGATACTTGAGAGATTCAGTCTTCTTTCAGCAGTTGGACTACCAAATGGTAATGAATCATCAACAACAACAATGCAGTCCCCACTAACAACTTCAATTACCTGTATAAAGTTTTAATTTAGTGAAGTTTATTAAAAAATGGAAGAAATGAGATAGTTTAAAGACACACCTTTCCAGTGAAGTTATCTGATATAGCCTTTGAATTGGTAGTTGCGGGAGCATATTGTTTTTTTTTCAATTAGGGACATGCAAAATATGTTGAGTGGAGTGCGAGTATGATGGAAGATGAAGCCAGGAGGAAGTTAAAAGTTGTAGAACTCCAAGCAAAGAAGACTAAGATGAGGCTTTGGACAAACTATTTTCCCCCAGCTACCAATTCAAAGGCTATATCAGATAACTTCACTAGAAAGGTTTGTCTTTAAACTTAACAACTGGCTCCTACCAGCACTAGCTAAGATGGCTTGTAGCACTTACTATATTAGTTAGCACCTAAAATCAATAAAAAAAAAAGAAATTAGAAATTCAGGAAGCCAACTACATATATGGAGAAACCGATAGCATCACAAACAGATATTCATGCTCAAATAACAAAAATACCCATCAACATTAACATCCAATCCAAAACTAATAGAGATATATATTATTGCTTACCTTTACCACCAACAAAATTGCAAAATGCTGATCAACAGGTAAGCAACAGCTCCTCTATATGACTCACCAAATATTTGGTAAACAAGAAACAAGAAGCAAGATCATAAGCCTGATTCCTTTCACGAAATGACTACGCCAATAAGCTGATAGTTTTCAGCAAATTTCGAGTGAAAGACAACAAAACCATGACCTGTTGCCCTGTACTTTGCACCTCCATGAAGCAGTGTTCTACCATAGTAGTGAGTTTTTGTTCCAAGTGAGAAGGTGAAGAAAACAGGGGCAAGTTTTATTGCATTAGAACCTAGTCCAAGTAGTTTTCCATATTTATACATTACAAATTTCATTTATCAGTAGAATCAAAAGCATCAGATGTAATAGTAGCAGATACGACTTCTTTTTATTTTTATTTTTTGGTAAAAAACTTACAGTGGAGAAATAATCTTCTGATGTTGCAAATGATGGCCGAAGATCCATTGGCAACTCATCACTAGACTGGATATATGTGGGCCCACATCATTGGTTGCACGGGTCCCATCATCAAGAGGTCCTTGTAAGCTTTGTTGATTGCGCTTATGAACATGAGGATCCAAAGCACTCATTAATCCAAGAACCTGATCATAGTTTTTTTTCAGCATAAATCTCTGTACATAACATCATAGAAACTAGAAAAGGATCAAAAATATACCTTAAGAATTTCCCGCCTTGTAGACTATGCCAGCTCACCATTCAACAATTTTAAAAGTAAGCTCGGCAACTGTGGGTACTTATTACATGGAGCTATCACATAACTATAAAAAAAACAACCAATTTTTGTAAAAAGTGTTTGCCCTTCTAAATATAGTGTCAGTTGTAATATTGATAAAGTTGAATACATACCCTGTGCTCGGTACAAGTTGACCAAGAGTTGCAACAGCAACCTTACGTTTAGTAGCAGCAGCTTCATCCAATAAAGCTTCAAAAATTCTTGGTATAAGTTCAGGGATATATTCTCTCATAGCAAAACCACCCTACACATATACAAGACTCAGCAAATCAAACATTTTACACTTAAGAGAACAAAAAAAAAGAATGTAAGAATCTCCTACCACTCTAGCAAGATCTCCCACAGTTACAAGAACACCACTTATAATGCCATTGTTTGCATTCACTCCTGGTGTTCCTTCACATAGTTTAGCCAAAAGCGCCTGAAACACAAAACCAATTATAGGGTCAGAACCAACTCTGCATCTTGATCAGACTTAGTATTGCTGGTAGTTTTCTCAACATGGCATGTATCTTCATTATTAGAACAAACATGGTGCCCTTCATGGGTGCATGACAAATCTACACCAGAAGTACTTTCATCAGCTCTATCATCTCCATGGGTTCATATTGATGATTCTCAAAACTATCAGGTGTAATAGCTATTGAATCTTCTGCACCAGCTAAAATTCCACAGTTTAACAAACTTTTCTTAATCATCAAGATCCCATGACTCACAACTTTGACATGGAATAATCCAATGCATCCACAAGGAAATCTACACATAACATGAATACAATGTTAAAATTCATCCAGTAGATGAAAACATGTATTTGATATATATGTATACATATACGTATATGTATATGTATACACATGTATTATGCATATCTGTGAAAGAATACCTGCATCATCTTTATTGAAGCACATAGTTGGTTTTATCCTGAAAACATTCCCATGTAATCCACCTTTTCCAACCAGAAACCCGAGCTCTTCATTCACAATAATATAATAAAAAACAATTATATCAAGGTCAAAATGGGCAATTCAAAATTTTCATACATAACATACCTCGTAGTTTTTCAAACAAAATGGCAGTTTCGCCCTTTGTTGGCGTCTTCTCTTTCTGATTAGTCACAAGCTCAATTCTCACCATCAATCCTCTCCCCAGCTGAAATTCCACAGCTATTGCACCTGATAGTTTTTCAAAAAAAATGTGTCACCTGTTTCTTTTCCTATTAACTAATGATCTCTGTGAAGTAGCTTTTTATAGATTTTTTAATGACATCTTGGACTGGGTTAGGTCACTAAAGAAGCAAAAAAAATGGGAATTAGGTTGGAATTAAAGGAATGTGATGATTAAAAAGCACACCTGCAACCTCTGAAGCCAAGCATTGGGTTCACTTCAGATAAATTCTCGATACTTGAATAAATTTGACCCTCGGTCATGCCAGTGTCCTCAGTGAGTTCACTCACAATTTTTTGCAGATCACCTTCGAGTAAAAATTCATGGAGTAGAGGATCCAAAAGGGGGATTGTCAGTGGAAGTCCTGAAATATTTGATGTAATCCAAGTATAAAACAAGGGATTTCCCAAATGTACTATGAAATGATTATTAAAATACTAAAAGATCATAAATCTACATTCCATTGCTCGGAAATTCCCTCAAAGTCGGATCTTTGGTAAGGCAGTAACAGGTCTAGTGCTGCTTTGGGATGAAGTTCTTGAGAATTAGGTATAATGGCAAAACTGTTGCCACCACTTGGTCTTTGTAACCAGATGCATTCTCAAACTAAACAGGAGATTCATAATTAGTGATACATAGACATGCACATAAACATAATATAAATTGATCAAATTGCTACTACTTATAGAAAGGGACAATGTTAATAAAATGGTATCCAAGATTAACCACTAGACTTTCAATTTTATTTTATTGTTGTAAATATACATGATATAAATTCATCTTCATTACTTTTAATTTAAAAAAAAAATCATAATAACAGAACAAAATTGAAATTTGAGTAGAAGAACAACTATGGAACTTGGTTATCATTTAATGAAAATGTTACATCCACATCATTAAAAATTTGATCTATGTCAAAAAAACAAAACAAAATTTCATAGCAAAGATACAAAAAATTACAAAATGTCATAATAGGATGTCTCCTAAAAATAATTCCCTAAATAAAAAAATATGAAACTTGGTTACTATTTAGAAACATACCCTTTATATAAACTGTGAAACGTGGTATAAAATGCATCTGAGTTTTTTAGCACAAATTATAATACGATACCTGTGGATGGAGAAGCTGATCTAGATGTTAAGGCTTGACCCTCATAATTATTGTTCGAGTATCAATTAATTCTTCCTTCATTTCTACTACAATTCTCACTACGCCTTTACCAATATGTCAACTCATCACAGTTCTCCCAAAGATCATGGTTCCATTAGTTGGAACGCCTTGAATTTTCCTTCTTCTGTAGCACCCCTAGTATAAAGAACGACACAAACTTTAGATAAAAATTTATATTTATAGAATTTCAATGATAAAAAGATATGAACTTTCTGTTAAATTAGGAAAATAGGACTTAAAAAAAAACAACCTGTTCTTAGAAAGAAACTGTGAAAAGAAAGAAGAATCTAGTGGGATGAAGTCGTGTGGGCGAGATCTACAGCGTGGATCTCTATTTGCAATTTTCTGATCCCAACAAAAAACCTTTTTTAATCAAAAGTTAGTAACACGTGTTTTCAAATAAACCCAACTTTAAGATAAATATATTCAAATTAAATGAACTTTAATAACATATACCTCAAACGATGCCCTAGTTGTATTGATTGGGATGAAGTTCTTGACAGTTAGGCTTCTTTGGGATGAAGTTCTTGAGAATTAGGGATCCTGCCTTCAATTGATATATAGAGAGCTTTGATAGAGTAGGGAGTTACAGATGCATTCGTGAAGAAAAAGGGATTTAACAAGAATCGGAAGTTTGTTCCTTCGAGCATAAATGAAATGGAGAAAAATTAAGCCGGGGAGAAAAAAGGATTTTGCAAGATAGGGTTCTGGTAGAAGAACGAAAACATAGGGAAGAGAAAATCAACCGAAACACACCTTAATAAGACATAGGGCTTGTAGATTTGAGCAATAGAAGAAGTAATCCTAAGGTCGCTGGACATGATGTTGCCGGAAAGGGGAGGCGAGGTGATATCTTCGTTCGAGAGTCGACATATCTTGTAGTGATAGTACCTGAAGGTTTCTAGTTCGAATGATTTGGTTTCCGTGGAACTTTAACATGAGGCCAATCATAAAGCATCCTAGGGCTTCGTCGCAGTGGAAGGTGCCGTTATGAGTGCCGATTCGCTTAGGTGGTGAAGTAGAAGCAGTGGTGAAAGTTAAACGTGAAATTGTTGAGTTGAATGCTATAAAATTTGGCATATGTGAGAAAGGAAGCATAAGGGAGATTCGGGATCGTAGAAATAGAAGGGATGTAACCATTGTTAAGGCTGGCAACCTTGTTTGAATGTCTGTTGTTAATGTTTCTAGGGTTTGTGAGGTTGGAGGTGGGGGCAGGGTTTTTAATTTTTTGGATTTCATTTCCCCCTTCAGCTCCGCGTTCTTAAAAAAAAATTATACAGCGACACCTTTACACGATACGTATTAAACATAAGCGCCCTCCGTGTATTTTTTTTTTCTTGTTGAACACTAATTTTAGGGCACGCAAAAATGCGTATCCTCTATACTTCAAATTTTGGAAAATTGACATTAGTTTTGTGGGCAAGCACAAATGCTTGTCCTCTATCAGTGTGTGTCATTAATTGCGCGTCGTAAAAGGCTATTTTTCTTGTAGTGTAGGGGCTGATTTGTAATTATGTGATAGTTACAAAATAAGGTAAGGATTATCTTATTATTAGGTTGGACGAATTTAAGGTGATAAGGCCTTAGAATTCGACTACCATAAGGATTCAAGGATTATCTTATGGGTTGCTTTGTGGATAAGCAACTAGATAAGGATAATGACTGAAACCCTATCTCTACACCTATATAAACACCCCTTGGCTCATGAATTCGTGTATCCCTTCCCAAGAAGTCCTAAGGATGAATTCTAACCTCTCTCCTCTCTCTTTATACCTTCTCCATTTGCTCTTGGTGTTTGTAAGCCATTAGAGGAGTGACACTTGTGACTCTAAGCATTCCAAAGTCAAATTCAAGGAGGAATTAGGATTGTTATTACTCTATAACAATCAAGGTATGTCCTTAAGCCCATTCATATGTTAATATCGATTTCATATACTAGAATTAGGGTTTATAGTCTTGGATTCAAAGCATGTACAATAGAGAAACCTAGATCCAAGCATTAGGGTTTGTATGAGCACATAGGATGTCTTATGACCAAAACCCATCAATAACAGCCTCCAAGTTCTCAAAACCCTAGAAATCGTCTCTAAGACTCCAAGATTGTAATATTGAGCTCATGATGTGCATTTTGGTGTTTTTGGGTCATTTCCAAGAAGATGGAATTTGGTGCAAGGTTGTGAATCAAGGATGAGCTTATGGATCTGGATTATGTGCTTTATTTCCATCTTGTTTGAGGTAAAAACCTTTTATTTTGTTCACTTTTGGCTTAGATCTAGTTTGTGTGAGGTTTTGGTTCATTTTGGTCCCAAGAATGAGATCTAGTCGTTTGGTACCACTTTAGGATCTATGTGTTGGGCTGAAGATCATTTTTGTTGATTGCGTCTTTTGGGCTCGCTTAGCCTAAGGCTTTTTGTGTACCGGTTTCGGCCTGTCCAACCGTGAACCTTTTATGTTTTGTATATATATTTACGCTTGCATGCATATTAGGTTAAGGTTTAGAGATCGGAGTATAGCGATACATCTAGATGACAACAGGTTTCTTTGATCGTTCTTGTAACCTTCCAATCCTCTACAATTGATGTTCTTAATCGATCTCTTCTGAGGATTTTGTTTAATCATTCGACACGTTTAATTCTATCTTGTCTCGTTCTTATTATTGTGTTATTATCATCTTTGTTTACTTACTTGTTCAAGATCTATTCGATCTTCATAGATTAAAAGATTGTTAAATCTCATCAATTGGTATCAGAGCAGGAGGCTGTGTAATTGATACACATCTTTTCTGTGAAAAAGATTTACATTAGGGTTTTTCCGCAATCATCAATATTTATTGAACCGTCATCTCTTTATTTATGTATCTTGATATTTATTACTTTGCCCTAATCTGCTTTATTACAAGTCTGATCTTTGAACAGGTTTTTACGATCATAATGGACGCGACACAATCAAACCTTATTAATATTTCCAACAGCATTGGTTCGACGACAAAGATTCCGATCTTATACACCCATGACTATGAAGTATGGGCACATCACTTCGAAGACTATGTTATTGTATCGGAGGAGAATGGGTATCTGATTTGGAAGCCATCACCAATGGACCGTTTTCTCATTCTGCAACGTCCAGAATCATCAAGACTCAAAAGAATACAATGATCTGCTAAAGGACGTGAAAGATATTGCACAAGATGAAAAGGATAAGTTCCAATGCAATATCAAGGCATTAAGATTGATCCGGTTCGCCCTTCAGTCCGATACATTCAGATTGGTTAGCTCATGCACGACGGCAAAGGATGTTTGGGATAGACTTCGCGAACTGTATTCTACAGACGAAGATCTTGAACATTCGATTCAAACTTTGCTT